CCCAAACGGATGTCATATCTTTCTTAGTTTATTTGATCGAGCCTCACCCTCAAGTCTTGTGTTTATCCCTCGGGGTAGATACAAGATTTGAGGTTGAGTGCTCTTTCATTTAAACTATGGAAAATATGAGGTCAGTTTGATTTCATATTTTTCTAAAATTATATATATATATGTAAATTAAAAAGTCCTTCCGAAGCGGGCGACGGGATTTCGATTCCGACGACCGACAGCTTCTTACGGGCGACCCCCAAACGTAACCCCCCCCTTTTAAACGCCGACAAAAGGATAGAAATTTCCTTACAAAAAGACAACATTATCATCGAAAAATTGCTTACTATTTGGCTTGAAAATTGCAGTGGAGGCTTTGTTTCTCCCAACAAGTTATTGAAAACAACTCCATTCATTCTATTGTTATAAAATTACTTTCCATCAGACTTGGATTTATCATTATGATGATAATAAATTCAGATTCATACCTACGAAGCAATAAAAATAAATAAATAAAAATACAAAGGAATGAAAATGTTTTCAATACCTCTAAAAAATAAATCCCAAATTTATAATTTTTTGTACTTAGTCTAACTTGAGAATTAAGGGTCTGTTAAGGACAGTTGCGGCTTATTAAAAAACAGTTGTGAAGCTGCTGAAAAATAATCTGATATTCAAAAGGTTATGTTGGCTATTACAATTTTTCGATGAAGAAATCAAACTACAGCTAGAAAGTTGTCATCGCACCTAGCCAAGACAGGTGGAAAAACACAAATTTAAGCGACAGCTTTTTGAAAAAGTTGTTTTACCTAAACAGACAAAACTACGGTGCAATGCCGGACCACCACCGCACCGCCGCCCCAAAAGGACTCTAAGATAGAAAAATAACAAGATTTTTTTGCATGAGTTCAAACTTTATCAAGTTCGAAGACATTGGAAAAAAAAATTGCCACTTAAGCCATCAAATTATTGCACAAAAACAGGCTCCATCTAATGTTTTATGCAAAGATTCTGGACAATAGTGATTGAAATGAATCATGAAAAGTGTGCGCTTGTTTGGAACTCTTGAACAGTGAGGTAATTCAATTAATAAGAAAGGGTAGAACTGAACAGACTGGCAAAATCAGACAATAGCAATTACTTAAATTTTCAAACATTTCCATTTATCAAATAATTGCATGAAATCTACTTGTGGTCATGAAAAAAAAAAATTAGGAAAGAGTTCAAGTTGCGCAAAGAGTGGGCCAGCTTTCATCATAACCTATGAGAAGCATAATTATGCTCGTTGCCGAAAAAGCATACAAAAATCAGAAAACTATGCTTTTGAGGGTAAGCACAGCGCATTAATTTGATGAATAAGCTAACCAAGCAAAATTTACATACCACACAATTCTTATTTTACTTTTAAAAAAATTGTGATGGTGATATTTTTGATGTGATATAAAGATTTGACTGGTATATATGCAAATATGAATTTTAAGGTGTCAAATATGTAAATACATGAGAATTGTGGGGTATGTATGTAAATGCCCCATTAATCAATGGTTTATTAGCAAACTAGCTTGAAAGCAAAAAAAATCAATGCAGTATAAACCAAAAGCTGATAAGTCCGTTTAAAATATATATTAGCTTTACACAACTCAAAAAAATCAACAAAAAACAAATTAAAATGTAAAAAACAAATTCCAGCTAGTCTATAAAAGCAGCCTTATACACAATAGAAAAGCTTCCAGATGCCACATAGCTTCAAATAAGGTTTTTGTTGAACAACATGAGCAGCAAGAGTCAAAACACAAGTACATCATACTAAAATTTCTTAAATTTTGTGGTGAATGAAAAAAAAAATAAATTTATGTTATGACTTGCCATGTAAGCAATGTACTGCTAATGAAGAAATGTTCAGTAACCATCGTAATTAAGGAAAACAACCTAAATTTAAACTTTGTTGCGCAGAAAAAAGGTGCATCAATTGAAGGTCTCAAAAAAACTAATATTTTACCTGGCAATACTTTCATGGAGTAAGAAATGGCATCATTTAATGGGATATTCCCACAGGATAGCCTTATCTCATAGTCTCCAGATTTTTCAGGAATATATGTGATGCCAAACTCGCTTGCCTGAACAGTATATTTCCCAATAAACTACACATAAAATGTAAAATATTAGAAAATTTGATATGCAATAACAAATTATAACTATATGGAAATCCTTACAGTCCTATTCCCTTTAGATGTCGTCGAATGTACAAATCCTGAAGTCCCCATCAAAATATCAGTTGGTGTAGAAACTGGGCCGCGATATGTCCCTAGCATGTTATATGCCCTTTAGATTGACTCTTAAACATAGAAAGGAAAGAAGTACCAAAATAATCCTCTGACTATTTACATGAAGCCATTTAATCTCAGGGTCTATAAAAGCGTAAAATTAGACCTCAGGCTCTTCTAATATCAGCTGAAAAAGTCCCCATGATGAACTATATTAGCCCACTTTAAAAGAGTTTAAGGTCTAAATTGACAATTTTATAAAGACTTGGACTAAAAAGACTCCTGAAAAAGAGTCAGGAAACCATTTGGATACTTTTCTCGAAAGGAAAGTGTGTTTAGAATTCTCGCCATTAAAACTTTTCAATGGATGTATGATAGGTCGGATCATGATGTTAAAATTTCTACTACGAATTTCTACATAAAGTTGTTCTGCCTCAACTGGAGAAGGATTCGTATATGCATCCTCCAAGTAAACTGTGAACCATGACAATCTACCAGCAACAGAACTAATTAAACCAGATCCATTAGCGAAACTGTTTAATCCATGGCAATTACCTAATAAGAAGCCATAAATTAAGTGAGATGCAGATAAATCTTGTAAAAAATATTAAAAAATAGCATAGAATCTGAGATGAGTTGACAAGAAAAAAAAAGGAATTTAAATATATAGCACACAATTCTTATGTATTTACATATTTCACAACTAAAGTTTCATATTTACCCAAGCACTTTCTTTTGTTCTTTAAGCCTATGCATAAAAATGTATATTTCACTTTTAAAAAGCGTAATAGGGCTATTTTTTATATGATATTAAAGAATTGAACACTATGCGTGTAAGTATGAAAGTTTAGTGTGACATATATATACATCAGAATGCTCTGCTAGGGTTTCGCCTCATGGCGAACCCTAGCTTCTGCTTCGCTCGTCTTTGCTTAACCTTCCTCGTCGGCTTCTCGCGTCGTCTACCACTTTGGATTTGGCGATCTGCGTCATCTGTTAGGTCGCATCTCCTTCGTCGTCGCCGCTCTGCTCGAGTTGTCGCCGCTTCTGCGCTCTGCTCCTTGATCGTAGGGGCGTCGTCTGCTTCTGTGTTGTTTCGCAGGGGAGTCGTCTGTTCACAGGAGTGTCGTTCTTCTGCGTCGCTGCGACGTCTGCTAAATTTGCGGGGTTTTCGCTCCTGCCCACTGAACTTTCTGGATTCTGACTTTGCTCTTCTTTGCTCTCTTCGTTGCTCTTAACGCCACACCTCCGTTTATTGGGGATGGCTTCGAACATATCGTATGCTGCTGTTCTTGCGAATGTTAACGTCGTCTCAGGTACACCTAAATCGTGTTCTTTCCCTCATTTGTTTGAGTGGGAGGAGGATATCAAGAAACCTGGAAGGAAGCATGGCAAACCTGCCATCTTTTTACAGAAGCTGAAGGTATTCAACTTGCCTCCTCTTGTTGACTGAATTTAGTTAGGAAGTTTTTGTATGGTCATCCAAAAATGAAGCTGATTCGTAAGGAATTTGAGCTTATGCACTTGGTAGGGGAGTGTAAAATTGGGTTGTTAGATGGAAGTCACATTCTCATACAAATTAATAATGAAGAGAATTACACGCGTTTGTTTGTTAGAAGAAAAATCTAAATTGATAACAGAGCAATGAAGATTCTCAAATGGTCTGTAGATTTTGACCCTCAGATGGAACCTCTGATCATTCCGGTTTGAATTCGTCTCCCTGGTCTGAAATTTCATTATTTTACTTAAAAAATTTTGTACGCTATTGTCTCTGCTTATGGTAAGCCACTCAAAACGGACATTCATACTTGTAATTTTTCTCATCCATCAGACGCCAGAGTACTTGTTGAAAGAGACATCATTTTATCTGCTTCTGAGGAAATTTGGTTGGGCACACAGCATCATGGGTATTGGCAAAAGGTAGTTATTGAGCATTTTCCTTCGTATTATTCAAACTGTCGTATGTTCGACCACTCCAGTTCTCAGTGATATCGTCTACATCCACACCTCAGACCAAAAAACCACAGTGCTCCGCCAGAGGCATTGATTTCATCTCCTCCTGATCAGCTCCAAGTTATTGACACTATTGATCATCAAAAGGAGACCCCTGAAGACGTCAGTATTCTCGCAGGCAATATGACAAGTACAACCATTCAGTCGCCTCTGGAACCTCCTATCATGAGTGAGAAGGAAATTCTTCAGATCTCACTTGCCCTAGAATCTATCACCGTTAGTACAGGTTGCAATACTGCTATTGTTTCACTACCGCCTCATCAAGTCGGGCAAGCTGAGTCGAGCAAGCTGTAACTGCCACTCAGAATCATGGGGATCATGTTGTGCAACAGCCTACACATATCCAACTAACTTTGGAACAATCTATTGACCAAATGAGTCAATCTTCGGATGAGGAATGACAGGTCTACACATCAAAGATGAAGAAGAAGAATGGAGACCTACTTAAGCTCAAAAATCTGATGGATGATACTTTGGTTACTTCGGGCATTGACACTCACCTTATTAATTTGTAGCAGACTCAATTCCAAGAACTAGAGGCAGAAGGAGGAAAGTGGGACGTCCCTAGTACTTTTGCGCCCTTTGGTGGCTTTTTGGTTTTTTATCTTTATGTATCTTTTTTTTTATTTGGGTTTTGTGTGTGTTGTTTTGTGTGAATTGAGATTTCTTTTAAGCTCTCTCATACAATATTTCTGTATCTTTTCCGTTTTTAATAAATTAACCCTTGGGTTTTTTTCATATATATATATATAGCCCCCAAATGAGTTCCATCCTGACATAAGAATCGTTAACGCATACCAGAGCATAAACTAACAAAGATGTTGCTACACTCGAAGACATGATGTAATCAACTTTGGATGTGACAATGAAAAGTCCAAAATTGGATCAAAGAATACCTAGTCTATAATTTAAAAGTTCAATGTAAGATAGTGCTATGGCTAAGGATAATGATGATGATTAAGATATAAGAAAGATAAGACACATTATACATGGGTTTAGTTTCACATCTAATGGATGAAAAAAAATAATGTTAGTAGAAATACTAAGTGGTTGACCCACACTCATAGGTTAAGTTATTGTGCTGAGAATGGATATGAACACCAAGGTATCTGGCCGAACTTTAGCGCCTTTTGATTTTAGTCTACTTTAGTGGTATCAGAGTTGGTGGTTTAGCTGAGATGAAATGGTTCATACAATTTGAGGATATAATTAGATGTTTAACCATTTATAAAATGGTTGAGAAAAATTCAAGAGCAAATAACTCTTATTGATGTGGGGCTATGGGTATGGCTTGTTCTCGATCTAGCTTGGCTGGAACGGCCAATCCTCAAAGGGGGCCACCGCGCATGCTCCACCTTCCTTTCCTTTTCCTCCTATTCCCTCTTTCCTTTTCCCATCTTTCCTTCCTAGTACTTGGCAATTCTAAATCTCTAGTATTTTTGTTAGTCTTTGCCTATTATGAATTCTTCCTATTATAAACATTGCCTAAATTATGAATTCTTATTATTTTTATTCTCTTTCTTATTTTAAAGCATTGCCTAAAATAAATCCTAAGCCTTGTTATTAATAAGAGGTGGTATGCTTGGAATTTTTGGAATTAAGTGATTTCTGAATTCAGATTACCGCCGCTGGTGTTATTCCTTTTAAAGGTTATATCTGAATGCGAGGAAGTACTCTAGCTATCCCTCATACTAGGTGGAGACCGTCTCCAAGAATGGTGCTCCGATTGTAGCTCGACCTCGACAAGGCATTTATCTTATCATACTTCTATTTCCCTGTTGTCATGTCAAAATCCAGCCACCACAGCCCCCTCTTCCACTGTTGTCAGCCACTTTCTTGCTCCTGTTCAGCCACCTTCTTGCTTTCGTCCAGCCACCACGGCCCCCCTTTCATTGTTGCCAACCCTCATCCTTCCCCGAGGACTCCTTCCAGCTATTGTCTTCCTCATCGAACACTTACCAACAACCCTTCCAGCTTCTCCCTGCCCCTGATCGGCCCTCTCAGTAGTCTTCCATCCTTACTGCCCCCTCTGTTTTCTTTCCAGCAAGCCGCTTGTCCTCTTCAAATTCTTTTGGCCACCTCTCTGACTCCTCCGAGCAGTCAGCAGCCTTCCCGGCCTTTTCCACACGGCCGCCAATACTGTGTTCCATCCTCGCCTTGTACCCGTCACAGAGAGTTGTTTCTATTTTATGTTATTGTCTTTTCCTTAATTTCAACAATCCTCATTGTCATTTACTTATTTCCTGTTGAAGAGTCGTCATTGTAACTTTTGGAGTACCGTAATAATAGTTGCAATTTTGAGTTTTGGTTTGGGTTTTTTTTCCGATATCATTTGGCATAAGAGCTAGTCCAACTCTAGTCTCATCCAAAGGCTTTCCTAGCATCCGCCTCTATCGTTTCTCTTTTCTTTTTTTTTCTTTGTTCCACAGTTCCCAAACCGTCAATCAAGTTGGTAAAAAGAAATATCTCGGAATCTACCATGGAAGAGAAACAACGAGAGTTTCATCGCCTCCAACAGAGACTTGCAGAGATTGAAAAGATGACACAAGAAGCTACCTTTAACCGAGATCTGAAGAGTCGAAGGAGAGAGTGAGAGAGAGAGAGAAGAGGATTTGAATCCCTTTCATAGGGATAGTTATTAAGAAGACAGACCCCGGCGTTTCGGAATCCAATATGAGAGGAGGCCTAGAAAATGATACTAGCATCCCTCCCACATGGAAACTTTTCAAGAAGATATGTCATTTGGAGGACACTAAGGCCAAGAAATCAAGGTAGATTTGCCCGAGTTTGAGGGAGGCGATGAATTCAATGAATGGTTACACGCAGTTGAGCGGATCTTCGAATACAAAGAGGAGTCCAAAGAGAGGCGGGTCAAATTAGCTGCTATCAAATTGAAGAAAAGTGTCTACCTATTGATATTGGACGTACCCAAACCACGTCGAAAACACAAATATTATTTTTGAATTCCAAACATATTACAAACACAATACGGAAAAAACAGGAAATAGATGACAAAAAAATATGATAACACAAACAATAAAAGGTGTTCCTTTTATTAGATAGTTGTTGGTGGGTGAGGAAAGAGGGTTGTAGATATAGGGGCTGACAGGAGGGATGGGCAGCCGTTGAAATAGCAAGATAGCTTGGGGTGGCAGTCCCCCTAAATTTCTATTATTTTTACTAGTCTATTCTGAATTCTTCTTATTAAAAACATTACCTAAATTATGAATCACTATTATTTTTGTTCTCTTCTTATTTTAAAACATTGCCTAAAATAAATCCTAAGCCTCATTATAAATAAGAGGTGGTATGCTTGGAGTTTATGGAGCTAAGTGATTTCTGAATTCAAATTACCGCTGCCGACGTTGTTCCCTTCAAAGGTTGTATCTGAAGATGAGGAAGCGCTCCGTATGTCTCTCGTCCTAGGTGGTGACCACCTACAAGGGTCCGAGTCGTGCTCCAATTGTAGCTCAACCCCGACAAGACATTTATCTTACCATACTTCTATTTCTCTGTTGACATTTCAAAATCCAACCACCACAACCCCCTCTTCCACTGCTATCAACCACCTTCCTGCTCCTGTCCAGCCACCGCAGCCCTTCTTCCACTGTTGCTAGCCCTGTTCCTTCCCTTAGGACTCCTTCCAACTGCTACCTTCCTCATCGACCACTTACCAAACGCCCTTCCAGCTCCTCCCTGCCCCTCACCGACCCTCCCAGAAGCCTGCCATCCTTGCTGCTCCCTCCAGTTCCTTTCCAGTAGGTCATCGGTCCTCTTCAACACCTTCAAACCACCTGCCTGACTCCTTCCAGCAGCCACCAGCCTTCCTGGCCTTTTTCCGTGGCCACCAACATTGTCGTTCCATCCCCGCCCTATCCTACCCGTCGCAAAGGGCTGTTTCTATCTTATGTTATTGCCTTTTTTTTAATTTCAACAATCCTCATTGTCATTTATGTTTACTTGTGTTCTGTTTACTTGTGCTATGTTATTTCTTGTTGAAAAGTCGTCATTATAACATTATGTCGTCCCGTAATAATAGTTGCAATTGGAGACGTGGTTTGGGTTTTCCTCCAGTATCACTTATAATACCTCCAAATAGTTAAATGGACACTACGTGCATTATAGTTGATGATGTTAAAAGCTTTTGTTTTAAGGGAAGCAAAATCCCACATAAAGAATACTAAGAAAAAGGAAGATATAAGACACATGAGACCTAAACTTAGACCAAAATCGCATAATTGAAAAATCTATTAGTATAAAAATATCTAGTGGTTTACCCTCCTTTATAAGACTCTATATTAAAAAATTAATCTAAATACCAGCGTGTCTGACCCATCTTTGCTCCCCCTTCGGTTCACTCCAAAACACCTACTTCTTCAACAATTGTTAAAGTACCTATTTGGCGAGCAATAACATCATAGGACTTATTAGGGTCAATGCTTCATAAAAAATGTCTAACATGAGATGGAAAAAAAATCATATAACAAACTCACAAAATTTACGGGCCACAAATCCCAAACATTTAACAATTATTTACTAGTTTAGAGTAATTAACGATGGAAATGGAAGTTGCAAGGGAGCAAAAAACATATCACAAACTCGTTGAAAACATAAATGCAACCGGTAAGATTTCGTTGATTACATAAAGACCTATTGAATCCATGCTCCAGCTATAGTTGGCAGAGCAGTTACCATGACTAGGAAAGCCCTAATGAACTTAAAAGCCTTCAAGGGCGTAATATCAATATTCAAATTAATTAAAAAATCAGACCAATTTACATAGAAACCTATCAAACCACTAATTTCAGTGTTTAAGTGAATGATTGCATATTTTTAAGCCACCCAATAAAAAAAGAGAAATTTACATACAAACCACACAATTCTTATGTATTTACATACCTAACACCCAAAGTTTGATATTTACACTATACCTTGTAATGATGGTGGTATTTTTAATGTGATGTAAAATATTTGAGTGGTATGCATGCAAATATGAATGTTTAGGTGTTAGAAAAGTAAATCCATAAGAATTGTGTGCTATGCATGTAAATGCTACTAACAAAAAGCCCAAGCCCAATGTATTACGTTTAGACAAGCTTATTAACAAATGAATGATTGCATGTTTTTAATTCTCATTAATTATCAAAATGTTAAAAATGAAGAACCCAAAACTATCAAATTGCATAATGGTACTAAATATTCATGAAAGTACCTACAAAAACTGTGTAAGGCAAACTGTAGATGCTTTCGTTCAACTTGGAATTAAATATAGTTATCATAAAATCTCCTGGTTCTGAAACAGCAAAAGAAACCAATTGAATTCCATAATCCACCTCCTGAAATGACAAATCTCCCACTGGAACTGACAATCCTGTAGCCTTCTGTACTACTTGAGCATCAAACGGATAGAAACCTGGTACAAGGTTCCCAAATCGATCATTCTGGTGTACGAATATCTGCAACTTTGAGAAAATCTGCAAGGAGTTTATGTCATATTTCCATTTGGCTATGCTACTAGTAATATTGAGGGGTCCTGTAAATATAGAAAAATAGTGCAATGTGAGGGAGTAATAAATCCACAACATCCCAATAATGCTGAACAATCAAGCATCAGTGGCCAAAAATTCATTCCTGAAATTTCTGGGATCTATATATTAATCCCCATGCATGCATTTTTTTAGAATTTCATCACAGTTTTCATTTGGAAATAAGGTAACAGAGCACTTAGCACAGATAAATTAAATTTCAATTCATGTAATGGTTAACGAGCCTTATCTGAACATTTAGACCTAAAAAGCAAAAAAAACATGAAAATATTATTATCTAAATATTCAGATCTAAGAAGTAAAAGAATTTCATGGAAAAACATATACTGATATAAATGTGCGAGGTTGGTAAACTAAGTTTAACCAGAAGAACAGCAATGAACAATGAGAACAATGTAGATGCTTTCAGTTCGGTTAAAATTGAAACACTGAGGCTCTTGGTAAAAAGCATCAAGTGTCTCGAGTTAGGCCACGTAGCTTCAAATTGCCCAAATCAATGACTAAGTACACTCGGTGAAGACGTGCGCCATTAAAATGGTAAAATAAGAGAATATGTATCCCAAGAAAATGACAACGAAGGAAATATGCCAAAACCAAAAGTAGAGAACATGTTGTATACAGTTGGAGAACTGCTCATTATTCAAAAAATGGTGAATGTGACCAGCAAAAAAGTTTAAGGTGGATAAATCACATCTTTCATACATCGTGTACCATCCAAAAGAAGAAAAACAGTGTCATCATAGACAAAGGAAGATGTGAGAGCATCGTTTCCACTACATGGTGAAGAAGTTGAACCTTCCAAAGCAAGACCATCTCAGACCATACAAGCTTTCTTGGTTTTAAAAGGAAAACAGTATCAAAGTGACAATAAATTGCTTTATGCAAGTTTCACTGGGCAGGAAACTGATACGACATGGAGCCAAAATCAGCAAATAACTTGCGAGAATTAGGTGGGAAGGAAACCAAATTAGGGCTAATTGATTAATATCAAAGAAAATAAGCAAGATACAAGGGTGATCTACAATTCAAGAGGTAGATTGTCTCTGCACAAAACCTAGACACCGCTAGGAGCACAAAGCCAAAAGATAGCTGCAACAAAAACAAACATAACACCAACCCTAGCTAATTAGCCCTAATAAACACTTCCCAATATCCATTCAAACCCAAAACTTCTCTTGATTTCCCTCTTCATGTATGTGATTGGTTGTGAATTGGGTCATCCCCGAACCGGTTCTTGAATCGGCTTGTCAGCAGCCAGTTCATTCACGAGAGCATCCGTATCAGAAACTTCAAGTGATATTTTGTGATGTTAGTCCAATGGATAGTTATTATTTGTTATGAAGATTGTGGTAATAACACAGCACTTCATTCAAGATGAGCACAAGAATGCTTCCACATTGGAGCATAATGGAGAGTGAGTGGTAGTTATGTCACTAAGTAGTGAAGTTGTAGTAGTGGAGGGCACGGTGATGTCCAAATCTACATTCATGAGGACAATGAAACAATCAAATTATGCATGTCTCTGTGGTTCTAGAAGAAAATTAAAAGGATGAGTTTTGTACAAGATCCAACCATTGTTGCGACAATATCAAGAGGTGTTATCGGCCACCAAACTCCCTACAAGTTTGTCTCCTATGCAAGATGTGCATAACATGATCAATTCATTCGAGGGACTTTTATCCCACAATAACATATGCACTGAATGTAGCAAAAGGAGCATGAGAATTACAATGAGTAGTGAAAGAGTTCCTGCTTCCAAATACCAATATTGGTTTATATTTTTCATCAACTTCACTGGATTTTAGTTTACTCCAAGTTTGATTTGTGATTGTTACCTAAAAACAAATTTAAAATGAATGGGAGATGATGTTCAAAACAAGAGCTAAGCTACATGAGTGGATGGTGAAGCCATTTGCCCTCTCCAACACAACAAACATCTTCGAGTGCCTTATGGTGCAGGTTGGTCGGCCATTCATTGATAAGTTCACATTTTCTAGTTACACCTTGGAAGAACATTCGTAACACCTGCAAAAACTCTTTGAAGTGCTGAGCAAAAAAGAACTTTATGTCAAAAAAAAAGGCTCTATTCTTAGCTAGCAGGATTTCACTTTTTTTGGGTACATTATTTCTGGTTAAAAATCAAGCTGTATGGATTAAATATCACAAACTATTTTAAACTGGCCAACTACAATGTCCTTTTTTTCAAATTTAAAAATCTTTTATGAATTTATGTCTATTGGCATTTCATCAAGCAATTTAGTTTAGTGCCCAGTCCCTTGATGAAATTCCTTCAAGGAGGCAAATTCTTGTGGACGCAGTAACTTCGAATCTTTTATAAGTTGTTGAAAACAATTGCTAAGACTCTTATGTTGGCTCTTCCAAATTTCAACAGAATGTTTGAGAACGAGTTTGATTCCTATTATGTGAGAATAAGGATTGTTCTTAGCCAAGGTGGACATCCAATTGCTTTCATTAACGAAAAACTGAAGAAATTGCACCAAAAATACTCCGCCAATAACAAAGACTTTTACACCATCATCAGGACTCTGGAGCATTGGAACCCCGACACCAGAGGGAAGGAGTACATCCTGCAT